AGGTCCGCCGGATTACCCGATTATAGGGTCATGTTTGGAAGGCTTTGGTGGTGAGAGAAACAAAATATTTTATGTTTGTATTGTATTTAACCTAATAACTATACATAAGGTATCTTATAATTCCTAGATTACTACGAAATAGCATTGAATTATGGACAATCATACAATTACGGTTCATTTAAATTATGGGCTGGAAATAAATTAGTCGTTGTCATTTCTAAGCCAGAAGATCTTCAAGTAATTATTTGTTATGAATAAATAATTTTAAAATTTTCGATATAAATGTCAACATTTATCTTGAACATTGAATATATTAAAAACAATTACCACGGATAATTAACGTCCGTTTAATGTTCATTCGACTGTATTACACATGTACAATACTACTTTGGATTTAAAATATAAACAAAACAATTTAACATTCAAAATGTAATGTCATATATGATAAAACATTCAATTGAATACTAACTAAATTAACTTCAGAATAGTAATATCTCAAACCTAACATATCAAATGTCTATAAAAGGCTTAATAATCATAGTATTCTATGAAAATTATAGGTCTTTTATCAGTTAGTATCCAATTAAGTAAAATATAAATAGGTAATGCGGACATTTTTCCTATTTCGATATGAGTATGTCACTTTTCTGTTAACCTACCTCTCCAATCCATAAACAAGTTGGGACAGAAATATAAACCACCGAGTATGTAAAATGAGAATGATTTTCCTTTCTACGTGTCACTAAAACACAATCATACTATTACTGGCTAATGATTAGATATAATGATAGTATGTAAACCAAAAATATAGGGTAATAAAATTATACTTTTCCAAAAAAAAAACAATGCTATGTAGAAAAAAAAATACCGCACATATACAAAAGTTACACCCAGTTAAATCTTTCTAAAAATACATTATAAAACACGGGCTTTAATATAAACTATACATACTAAATTCAATTTCTAAATCAATTTTTTCAGATTATTTTTAATAGTTCGAAGGCCTTAGACAAAGGATTTTTGTATAATATGGCTACTAAATTTTTGGGTGAGGGCTTGATAACAGCTCCAGGTACGTTTATATTGTTTTTTAGTTTAGCACAATTAATCTTAACGTTCAACTATGGTTTACCAATTTATTAATGCAGCTATGAATTCAAATAAGTTTTGTTTAACCGAACCTATCCTGGGTAAACAGATCTACTAATATTTGTTTTTTTTAATATTTTTCAAGTTAAAATTTAGGATAGATACTATACTAATTAGTTCCACCATTTAAATCTTCGCATTGCTCAAATGTCTTATTAAAATTATTACAGTAGATAAATGGAAAATACATCGACGTTTGATAAATCCATTGTTTAATTTAATTTTACGAAAATATAAAAGAAATGTTTTTCCCGGTTTTTCAAGAGAAATCAAAACTACTAATTCAGAATCTACAAAAGGAAAAGGGTAAAACACAACCGTTTGATATCTTGGACTATGCATTAGATATTACTCTTAATGCAGTTTGTCGTAAGTATTAAAATCTCTACTACTATGGATATGTGTGAATGTGGAATACATTGTACTATACTATTATACTTGCAGTGATTACTATTAGTAATATTATTGATGTTTTATTGACTTTTTAGAAACAACAATGGATTACAATCTCGACTCTCAGGCAGATATGGGTTTCAAAAAGTGTGTCAGAATGTAAAACATTTACATATTAACGAACTAAATTACAATTCATATGTTAAATCATCTAGTTATAGACAAAAATATTATTTTTTTGCAGAGGCTCTGAATTGATATTTAATAGAGCAACTAAAGTTTGGTTGTATCCTGAAATTATATATAATCTTTATATCAAATTGTTTGACTATGAAAAATATTATACAAATGTTCAAAACTTACCAAAGCATGTATGTGTATGTGGGATATAAAAATAAATGAAATGCTTTTTAATTTTAATTTTAATTTTTCAGGTAATCGAGAAAAAGAAAAACGAATTAGCACAAAAATTTAAAAATAAAATCAAGACAGGCACAGATGTAAACGATGGCGAAAGTGAGTGATTGTTTTAACGATATACTACCGTATAGTTTTTTATTAACCAAACTGTAGGTGGTTATCGTGTCATCTGAGTTAAGTCAACAAAATTGATACATTTAAATTCTGTAATTGTATAAGTTATTATAACTACCANTATTACGTGGGCTTGAGCGATGAGGAAATTAAGAGTCATGCGATAACTATGATAGCGGCTGTAAGTTTAAAATACTCGAAATAATTTGCAACTACAAGTAATGCATAATTTTTATATTTATAGGGTTTCGAAACTACTTCATTGACAGTTAGTTATTGTCTTTTGTTATTAGCTATCTATCCGGATATTCAAGTAAGTTATTAAGTAGTTTTTGCTGTTTAAATATTTGATATTAATATCCGTTTCAAAAATATTAATTTAAGGACAGAGTTTACGACGAAATTTATAGCATATTAGGTGACAGTGATGAACCAATTACTTTTGAACAAACGACTAGTCTAGTTTATTTGAAACAAGTAATACACGAAACTCTCCGTTTATTCCCGACTGCACCAGTTATGTTGAGGCAACTGCAAGATGATGTCAAAATTAGTAAGAAAAAAATGTATAATAAAAATTATAAAACAAAATAAAATAACAATTGATTTTAGTTACAGGTAATCACACACTGCTGAAAGGAACATTATGCGGTATATCTCCTTTGATTACACATCGGAATCCTGAGCTGTATCCGAATCCCAAGTCATTTAATCCGGATAACTTCAATGCCGACAATGTCGCTAGTCGTCATAAATATAGTTTCATTGCTTTTAGTGGTGGTCCAAGAAGCTGCATAGGTATGACAAAATATTGGACTTATAATTTTTAAATTTATTAAACGTTTGTTTTCAATTTCAGGAATGAAATACAGTTTGGTTTTTATGACAGTTTTACTCAGTGACGTTTTACGGAACTTCAGTGTGCACACGGATATGAAACTCAGTGATATTAAGCTCAATGTCGGAGTAGTATTACACAATACTGTTGGTTTTCCCATAACCATACAATCAAGAAAACAATAGTAATTTTGTACTTTAATGAAGCCGAAATGCTTTCCCGTTAAATCAATTAAATATATATATTTTTAATATATAGACTTGATTAATTATACATATTACAAATAAAAATATAACTAAGGTGTATGTTTTTATGATTATAATTATTATTCGTGCAACTAATTATGTACAATATTATCGTGTATGCATTTAAATTTAAATTTTTAACCTTCCGTTAAGGGACTATAACAATTTTACCACATTGCCTCTACCAAATAAATATAACGTTAAAAATAGATTCAAAATTTTAATTATTTGACCTATTTTAGAGAAAGCAAATATAAATTGTCCGTTTATATTTTAAGGCTCTACGAATATTTTTAAATAAATTACAGCAAATAACAAAATTGAAAAATAATAAAGCATTATTTTCTTTACTTTCCTGTTGTTCTTTCGTTTCATCCTGGTTTTTCCTAGATAATATGATAACCGCTTGGAAAATCAAAAAACGACCTTCATAAAGTACCATGTGGACAAAATTCCCATTCAGTTGTGGTGTCGCGTAAATATAATATTGAGAATCTAAAAATGAAAGGCGGATAAGCTTTAAATATGAGAAATATATATGTATGTAATGTATGATCGATACATATATATGTTGGTAAGTTTTTCTGTTGTATTAGTGATTAAATTATTATTAATTAAGTTTTAATGTGAAGTTTAATAACCTAAAAGAAATGAAATAAAATACGGATATAATGGATGCGTCAACACAGTTCACGAGGACACACGTCGTCGTCAATGTGACAATATGTGTATTATCGAATATATCATATTCGGTAATACGTAACCACCTTACGTATTTTTAGCTAACCTACGACGCATAAGTGTTATGAAGATACTTATTAAAGATTAAAAAAATGTATATTTGTATTGTTGTAATTGTGTGATATATATTTTCTTTATGTATGTGCGTGTTATATATTTTATTGGCGATTGGCTACTGCGTAGATATTACAATGATTTATAGTTTTTTGTCCACCCATTTATTCTACAAATAATCCTATACCGAAAATTTCAACATTTATCTTGGACATATAATGTAGTAAAAAGAATTACCACGGTTAATTAACGTACGTTTAATATTTATTCGACCATATTACAAATGTACAATACTACTTTGGATTTAAAAAATAAACAAAACAATTAAGTATTCGAATTGTATAGTCACATATGATAAAACATTCAATTGAAAAGGAACTAAATTAACTTCAAAATAGTAACATCTCAAACCTAACATATCAAATGCCTATAATAGGCTTAATTATCACAGTATTCTATGAAAATTATAGGTCTTTTATCAGTTAGTACCCAATTTAGTAAAATATAAATAGGTAATGTGGACATTTTTCCTGTTTCTATTTGGTTATGTCACTTTTCTGTTAACCTACCCCTCCAACCCCGAAACAAGTTGGAACAGAAAAATAATCCACCGGGTATGTGAAATGAGAATGATTTTCCTTTCTACGAGTTAATAAATTACAATCATATTAATACTGGCTAATGATAAAATATAATGATAGTATGTAAACCAAAATTATAGTGTACTATAATGTAATACAAGTATAATCTTTTCCAAAAAAAAAACAATGCTATGTAGAAAATAAAACACCGTACATAAACAAAACTTACACCCAGTTAAATCTTTCTAAACAAACATTATAAAAAACGGTCTTTAATATAANCTATTCAATTAAGACATAAATCGTATACTACATGAAATATGATTTTCAACTATACCTCTCATTTATCATTTATTCAAAAATCAGAATTAAAACTATAATGATTTCACGATTTTATAAACTATTTTAATTTTTGAACGAATAGTTTTTGTCATATTACAATTTAAGCCGGTTAAGATAACGGGAGATAAAGGACAGATTAAGCACGAAAAAGGCGTTGAGCGGAAAGTGCACGGCATCGTGAACAAATTTAATTTCTTTTCCTACTAAGTTAAAATCTTTTAAAAATATTATTATTACATTTTTGTATACTAGACAATTATAATTTACATAGAAAAATAAATGGAAATATGTATATTTCGAGATCATTTTCTTTGTAATTTTATTTTATTAATAAGACCAGAGCATACTAATACGTCCTCATAAGTACGCCGTAATTATAGTAGATATAATATTAATTAATAACGTGTAATAATGTCCTGTGCGAGGTACTATGTTAACATGGACGAAAAAAGAATGACACACTAGACCACTTTTAGACCACCGAACTAACCAACCTATTTTCTTTCGTTCGATATACTGATACGGGAATGATGGAAAAAATAATAAAAATTGGCACGGAAAACGCCGGGCGCAGAACAGCTAGTTAAATATAAAAATGAGATAATTTCATTAAGATATCATTTTTATTTCCATAGGTTGCTTTCCATATACAAGAGTATATGATATAATCCAGTTATTAAATAGCTATTATAAAACTTTTCGGTGTTTATTTTGGGGACAATCAGGTTTTCGGATCTCGTGTTACAATTGTGGGTCACCGTATGAGGTAAATTTCTTTGTGATAAGTAGTATGAAATTTCTTAGTTAATGCTATTTTTATTACTGATTCCCATGTTTCACCTATTACAATAAACTCTGAATCATCTGTATAGGAATTAAAACTACCTTAAAATTATATAACATAAAGTCCTATGGGATATATAATATATAACTATAATTGTATATGTTTAATAAAACATGTGTATATTGATATTAATTGGGCCAAGGGCGGAAATTAGGCCGCGTACCTGAACACCTTTTATACCTGGGCGTTTAGATCTATCGAACACGGGTAGCCGATGACTTGGCAGGAGGTGGATTGGATCGCCAAGCAAAACTAGCAAAGCGTTAGGTTGCCGTGTAGTGGGCGAATATAACGGTGTGTACGCACGTGTGAGTATATGCGGGTGTGTGACTTATGGAGGAAAGGTAACCATGGGGTTACCATGAGTTATGCCATTACCTCATAAAGACTCTCAACCCAATTACAGAAAATATTTAGATTGTTCCAATAACACGCACACAACATACGGATCGATAATAATAATAACGGCAATAGAATGTAATTTACTCACAATTCACATGGAGCGCAGACCGGTCAGCCCCTATAATACCTATACTAAAATACGAAATCATCGTCAAAAAGGGCACATTATTTTTTTATAAGAGAATCTAACAATTTAGCAAGGTTTATGTTGGAGCAGTTTCAAAGTTAACGAACGACGAATCGGATTATTTTGTATATGCAATTTTACTAATGGATGTAAGTGTGGAGCCTCTTTTTTGTAAGCAGATTTGAATAACATTTTCTTGGTTTTGTTACGATTTTTATTTTTTATTTTGTTCTAGACTGTGTACATATTATTTCTTAATAAATTTGCTCCGATTACTACGTGTAGAACCTTTTCTGAAATCTCAAGTTATCTAGATGTTACTTAACGAAAGTCACTTTTTTGATTTTCGACACAATTTTTTAAATAAAAAAACTTAAGTGGGAAAAAAAAGTAGGAAAACGTACAATTTCACGATTTCATTTATTTATAAATACACGGAGATGTTTTCTACCGGTAAGTTGTCTACAGAAAAAAAAAAGGCCATAATATTTTTGTTTTTGTTTTTAATTCAAAATAAAAATAAAATATACATGTATACCTTGGGCGGTACAAATGAAGTCCGTTGTTAAAATATCATATTTTGTACTTATAAATAAATCGAATAAAATTTTAATTAGAAATAGTTTCTGATATTTATTTTAGCACTACGAACAATTGATGCGCTATCCCAAAACGTAGCGGA